GTATTGAATGTAATGTGTCCTAGAGTGCAAATAATCATTGTTGGTTGTCATCACATCAAATTTCCCTTTAGATATGGCAATGCCAGTATGTTAAATTGAATATTTTGTAGGCCTGGGGTACAAAGACCAACAAACCTCCACAGTTATTCTGGGAAGATAATATGTAGATCTTCCTGCTGATTTGGTCTCAATCAACACACTAGTCAAATCACATATCCAGCAAGAATATACATGAAGAGCAGCCAGTTATATATTTTTTCTTGAGAGGGAAAGGAAATAGAAGACCTGCCTTTAAATAAGGGATTATTTTCTCATAATGATATTAGACTGTGTTGTATCCAGATCTATTTAAAAAAAAGATCTTTGATAGTGTTGTATCCAGATCTATTTAAAATTTCTTGTGATCTTTTATAGAAGTTCAACCTGATCATGATGGAAAGCCACGTAATAGCTACAGTCTCTAGATTTTGCATTCTAGCCACTCAATGATATAGAGTTTGGGCTGGTTGCTGATTGAGAAAAAGTTGCTGTTTAATGTAGTTTTTATTTTATGGGACATTTGATATGGCATTTATAAAAATAAAGTCTGTTGAACTTGCATAAGGTTTTAGGAGCAGATCTCTGGTGATTGGTGTAATGAAATGACATCCTTATTTGATATTAAATTACGGGTAATGATTAAGACATATGATGATCTCCATTGAAGATTCAATTTCTTTTTCTTAACCCACTAATGCCCGTATATTTTGAAGCCGAAAATAAAAGTTTCCGGGTGGCTACAAAATTGGCATGCAGGGCTGGTCTGAACTCTGCCTGTGTGCTGGCCACAGCCTGCTGCTGAGTCGGAGCGTGAGCCCCGATAAAGCGTCACACCGGCGGGACGCCTGACAAATTTTTTTTTTTTTTTCTGGGTGTCACATATGGAGGACACCCATCATAAATGGGTTAGAAACACTATATCTTTCAAGATTATAACCATGGGTATTTTATAGTGTATTTTATCACTGTTTCAGCAGTTACCATTTTTTCTGTTCCCTTGCAGAATAAACAGCATGATGCTTCGGCTACGGCTGAAGACCAAAGGGGGCGGCCAGTTCCCTCTGACAGAGCGTGTGAGTGGAGACAGCACCATTGAGGAGCTACGGTCAGCTATCTTTGAAGTCACGGCGATCTGTCCTGAAAGGCAGAAGATCCTTTCAGGTGAGGGAGTTAAAGAAGGAAGTCACTGATGGCAACTCAGATCTAGAGAAAAAATATTTTACCCAAATAGGAGCATGTAAAAAAGAAAAAAGGGAAGTGGTTAGGCTAAAGGGAAATTGTATTATAAGTTTGTTCATGGTAATTCTATATTTGCCCTCTATATATTAGATGTTAAGTCTTTTGCAGGTATCTCAGTAGGACCAAAATACCTTTCTTTCACTAGTACCGTTGACTGGTACTGAAGTAATATAATGAACAAATAATAAATACTGTTGTGTGTGTTTGTAGTTTTGCAACTGCAATATTGCCAGCGTGTGAGCCAGAGGTGGGGCTTCCATGGTGGCACAGAGGGTCACCCACCCCTCCTGCAATCTGATTGGCCACCCGTGTGCCTCCCCAATGGTCATTGACCTTTATTGATCAATAATATTTATATATTAATATATAATATTTATATATTAATATATTATATTTATATATTGATATATATTATTAATGTATATTGATATATAATACACACACAGCAAGGTGAAAACATGAACAGTGTGTAACTGTGCAATATAAATATTGAAGTGGGCAACCTTAATTTTTGTTACTTTTGGGCAGCTCCCCCAGATTTATTATTGTTACCCCATGTGCCCCTCACCAGAAAATTCTCTGGACCCGCCCCTGGTTTTTGCAGCGATTTCCCATTATTATGTCTAAAACACATGCTGATATGAAAAGGATCTCTTGCCAATACATGAAGCAATACTGATGATTCACAAATTACCAACAATGAGTGGTGAACTTGGAAATGGAGGGGACTGTACCTGTTTTAGGTAAATTCTGATAACTCTTAAATCCCTTGGAGTAATCACATTGGATGTATTTGAAGAAAGATACATAACTTGTTTTACTTGTTTCATGTTCTGTGTTGCAAAAGATAAGCATAGCAAATGTAAGATAATGAAAGGAAAGTGAAATGCAAGTAATGATTTAATGTCTAGGTGGATGTAAGGTAGGTTTAGTAATTTGTGCTTTTGGGACTAAGTCCTTGTGAAATCATCTATATATTAAAGAGAATCAATATAACAAAACAATGTTCGACTCTGTATGTTCGTGGCATCTGTGGATAAAGCTGTGGACAGCCATTGATGTGTATATGTGTTAGAGGCATTCCCACCAATGGTTTTGTCATATTTTTTATTTATCCTGAGTTTATTCTTATGTTTCAAGTTTGGAGTTTATGTAGTTTCTGTAGTTTAGATTTTTTTTATTCTCTATAACATGTTTCTTTTTTTTTAGATCCTAATAAATATGTAGTTTAAGGAAATTGAAAATTAGCTAGTAGTGGCAACTAATTAGGGGCTTCTTTTGGCTGGCAGATAATGGCTGGAAATTATATATATTTCAGGATCCTTTTCTTTTCATAATTAGGTTTGTTTGGTCAGTATGCAATATTTTTGAAAGTACATTTTTATACCTATAGTTTCAGAAATGTCGTACTCCAGAATGATAACATATAGGAATAGCAGCATATTAGGTTATTTAATGAAAAGTCCTAAATTAAGTCAAAAGTTTGCAGAAAACTATAATCATGAGTTTATTTATGTTATTGTAGATATCAATATTATTTACATAATACTGTACTAATTTTTTTTATTATTATGCTTGATTCCCATGGGCCTTTTTGGGAAGCAAGTCAGAAGTTCACTCCTAAAGAAAATGTTTAGGAAAAAGGATTTTTCAAATAAAGGTCATTGAGTAACCAAAGGACTCATTTTTTCTTCTGATTTCAGGATACCCCCCAAAGCCTGTATTGGGCACCGCCGACATGTCATGTAAGCAGTGTCGGTATCAGAAATGGAGATGGTTTTTGATTGTCTGAGGATGTTGAACCGTCAATAAATGCGGTAAAGAGAATTAACAGGGCTTGTATGTGCATGTCATAAAGTATGTTCTGCCAAGGCTTGTATTGGGGAGAAGTTGCACAGACTTTGGTAGTTTATTTTCTAGGAAGTGAAGTACAAGTTAGAGAAGTCCTTCTCTGGGTCCTTCTCATACAGCCAATCATTAAGCTTGGCTCTTGGCTTCCGTTTTTATTGTTACTGTTATTATTATTACTATTATTATTATTTCTGTTATTATTATTACTGTTATTATTATTACTGTTTATTTTTTATTACTGATTATTATTTCTGTTATTATTATTACTGTTTATTATTAATTTCTGTTATTATTATTACTGTTTTTTTATTATTACTGTTATTATTATTATTGTTATATTATTACTGTTATTATTATTTCTGTTTATTAATTATTACTGTTATTATTTATTACTGTTATTATTATTAGCTGTTATTATTATTTTACTGTTATTATTTATTACTGTTACTATTATTACTGTTACTATTATTACTGTTATTATATATTACTGTTATATTATTACTGTTATTATTATTTTACTGTTATTATTCTTACTGTATTATTTTTCTTACTGTTATTATTCTTACTGTATTATTATTACTGTTATTATTAATTACTGTTATTATTATTACTGTTATTATTTTTACTGGTTATTATTATTACTGTTATTATTATTACTGTTATTATTATTACTGTTATTATTATTTCTGTTATTATTATTACTATTATTATGATTACTATTATTATTGATTACTATTATTTATTTATTACTATTTATTATGATTACTATATATTTGATTATTGTTGTGTATTGCTGTTATTGTTTATGATTACTATTATTATTGTTGTTGTTATTGCTGTTATTGTTATTATTATTACTATTATATTATTATTACTATTATTATTGTTGTTGTTATTGTTGTTATTGTTATTATTATCTTTGTAATATTGATAATTGTATTACTAGTAATAGTAAAGACATTTTTTGTAGCATCCAGAAACTCATGTTTGATGTTGTTTCATGGTCGCTACAAGAAACAATTATTATCAAAGTTTGCACTGACTTACAAGTTTTGAAAAATAAGCAGTTACTTTTCTTAATTTCACAAAAGAGAAGGCAATAGAAAACCATAAACGTACCTAATGTGCAGGTATGATATTTAATTACAAACAAAATATTGTAGAAGCTGAAAATAAAATGGAAAAAGTACGACTACTCTACAAATATAATGGTTTATACACACTCCTTTTGGCTTGGCAAGTCAGTGGAAACTTTCAAATGTATTTCTCAGATTCAGTCAAAACATTATTTTTAGTTATTACATACATTGTTCTTTATGTGAAAAGTGGGAATTGCATGAGGTTTTGCATCTTATCATATCCACCGTGAGTGAGCTCTATGTCTGAAGCAGATAACTAGATGATACCAATGATCATAGGTATTTACTTGTCTTACTGATTTAATTATATCAACAAATAAAGATACATAGTCTATTCTGATGTTTTGAGACTGTAAGGTTGTATTATAGAGATGAAGAATGATTTTGAAGACATATATCCCACTGAAGTCGATACCATGTCATATTATTCGAACTCACAGAAACTTCATACCCAGTTGTTCCAGCGACAGTCATAATTGACTTCAAATTTTACCCATATCGAGGGAACACTTATTTGATGTACTGTTAGAAAGACACTAAAACATTTAATGCACTTTTGAAATTGAATTTTGTATCAAGAAACTTATGATGCTATTCGTAATTAATAAAAATAAAAATTCCTCTCTGAGCCTGCGTGAAATATATTTGGAAAATATTGCGCTCCGATTGGCTGACTGGAATGAATCAAACTGTTTCAAGGCAGGGGCAAAAACCTTCATACAAAATGAAAAGATGTTTCACCAGAGAAAAGATGATTCACCAGGTTCCAATAATGTGCGTGTAAAGGGCAAACATGTATCAAAGTGTATCGAACTGTTTGGGGTTTTGGGGATGCTACAAATAAGGCCTTAATAGTAATATTACTATTAGCTGTGATGATGATGATGATGATAATGATAATTATGATAATAGTGGTGGTGATGATGATTAATGGTGATGGTGGTGATGATTATGATGCTAAAAGAAAAAGTAATGATAGTGGTAATGATAATGATTATAATGATAGTGATGCTTATTATCATTATTATTATTATTATCATTATTATTATTATTACTAGTAGGAGTAGTAGTTAGTAGTAGTAGCAATAACAATATTGATATTGATATTAGTATTAGTATTAGTGGTTTTGTTATTAGTATGATTTATATTATTATTGTTATTATTGATAATATAATTATCCTCATCATTTCAGACAAGCATACCCTCAGGGGCCCCAGCCAGCGCACCCGAGCACCTACCCTTAAAGAAGCCACCAAGTGCCCCCCGCCCTGCCGCTCCCCCCACAACAAAAGTGCCTACCAGCCAGAGCCTGACGCAAAAGGGCATCCTCTTGAAGAAGGTTGTCCCGTCGGACAATTCCTGCCTCTTCGCCAGCATTTATTATCTTGTCAAATGGTAGGGAAGAGGCACTAGTTTGTGTCTGTGTACATTTCTGCTCTTGCACTTACCTGATTTATGTTGACACAAAGTCAGATATTTGAATAGCAAGTGTATTCCATGTGAAAGGCTTTGACATGAGCCAAACAAGCTTACCTAGGGTATTATAAGGGAAACACTAATAGGCTTCGGTTGGTGTGTTGTGTGTGTGTGTTGT